TTCTTCATATCACTTTAAAGCTCTCATCATTTTGAACACTTTTTGTTCAACAACTATTCAGAAATTCTTTTTCGTTTCCGAGCTATATGCAAAAGATGTATTTAGGGGCCAGCCCTTCAACTCCTTAATGGGGAAGTTTAGCAAAAATTGAAAGATTAAATATTGTTTAGAACATTATTTTGAACATCTTTTGTTCAATATTGCTTATCAAAATATTTCCCACTTTTGAGATATTAAGCGTCAAAGATTTAGCATTCTGGCCCCTTATGGCCCCTAATTATGTAACATATGATGTGATTATCATAATATATAGTTGAAAATAGTTGAGATAAACATTTTTGCTTCAGTAATGCATTTCAAAATATTGATCGTTTAAGAGTTATTGATTGAAGATTTTCGGCCCTTCTCAGTCCCTAATTTGAGGGGCCAGCCCCTTTTTCTTTATATCACTTTAAAGATCTCATCATTTTGAACACTTTTTGTTCAACAACTACTCAGAAATTCTTTTTCGTTTCTGAGATATTTGCAAAAGAAGTATTTAGGGGCCGGCCCTTCAACTCCTTAATGGGGATGTTTAGCAAAAAATGAAAGGTTGCATCTGGTTTAGAACATTATTTTGGACATCTTTTGTTCAATATTGCTTATCAAAATATTTCCCACTTTTGAGATATAAAGCGTCAAAGATTTAGCATTCTGGCCCCTTATGGCCCCTAATTATATAACAAATGATGTGAATATCATAATATATAGTTGTAAATAGTTGAGATAAACATTTTTGCTTGAGTAATGCATTACAAAATATTGATTGTTAAAGAGTTATTGATCAAAGACTTTCGACCCTTCTCAGCCCCTAATGTGATGAGTCAGCCCTTTTTCTTTGATATCATATAAAAGATCTTGTAATTCTACACAATTTCTGTTCAATATGTTTAAACAAAATACTCATAGTTAAAAAGTTATCGTAAGAAATGTCTCTAAAATTCACTCATGATTCGGTTCCTAAATTTTGACCCCTACCGAGCTTCCATACTAGGCACTTCCGGAAGATTTGAAAACCCAGGTGATCAATGGCAACATGTCCTCTATCTTCGCTGAAAATTTCAGCACTCTAGCTTTAATCATTTTTGAGTTCCATTGCAGACAAGGAGGTCCTCTGAATTTTGATTAAAGGGCGATAACTTCCGACCGGAAGTGAATTTCAAAAAAATGAGAAAAACGTATAAGGTTCAGACAAAGATATATCTTCCCTGAAATTTTCAAGTAAATCGATCGAGCCATCTCCGAGAAATCTTCTGCACAAAAATTGTAAAGAAAAAAAAAGAATAATAATAATAATAACTAGATTCGATCTCGTTGCGAGCAACGAGTGGGTCTTCCGTCCGTTTATTTATAAGATGAGATAAGAACTTGACTGAGATTTTCGTTCAAATACATTGATATAAATAAATTGTAAAGACAAGCAATTTTGCTTTAGTAATGTTTAACAAAATATTGATCATTAAAGGGTTACACATTAAAGACTTTCAGCCCTTATTGGCCCCTAATGTGAGAGGCCAGCCCCTTTTCTTGATATCATCTTAAAGCTCTCATGATTTTGAACACTTTTTGTTCAACAACTATTCAGAAATTCTTTTTTGTTTTCGGGATATATGCAAAAGAAATATCAAAGGCCAGCCCTTCAAGTTCTAAATGGGAGCGTCTAGCAAAAATTGAAAAATGCATATTGTTCATAATATTACTTTGAACGTCTTTTGTTCAATACTGTTTATCAAAATATTCTTCCTTTTCGAGATATATTGCGCAAAAAATTATTTAATCTGGCCCCTAAAGACCCCTTATTGCGTAACATATGATATCAACATAAAGGGCATGAAGATGAACTCTTTTGCTTCAGTAATATATTACGAAATATTGATCATTAAAGAGTTATTGATTGTATACTTCCCTCTCAGCCCCTAATTTAAGGAGACAGACCCTTTTTCTTGACATCACTTTAAAGCTCTCATGATTTTGAACACTTTTTGTTCAACAACTACTCAGAAATTCTTTTTCGTTTCTGAGATATTTGCAAAAGAAGTATTTAGGGGCCGGCCCATTAACTCCTAATGGGGACGTTTAGCAAAAAATGAAAGGTTGCGTATTGTTTAGAACATTATTTTGAACATCTTTTGTTCAATATTGCTTATCAAAATATTTCCCACTTTTGAGATATAAAGCGTCAAAGATTTAGCATTCTGGCCCCTTATGGCCCCTAATTATGTAACATATGATGTGAATATCTTAATATATAGTTGTAAATTGTTGAAATGAACATTTTTGCTTCAGTAATGCATTAATAAAATATTGATCGTCAAAGAGTTATTGTTCAAAGACTTTCGACCCCTCTCAGCCCCTATTTTGAGGGTCCAGCCCTTTTTCTTCATATCACTTTAAAGCTCTCATCATTTTGAACACTTTTTGTTCAACAACTACTCAGAAATTCTTTTTCGTTTCTGAGATATTTGCAAAGGAAGTATTTAGGGGCCGGCCCTTCAACTCCTTAATGAGGACATTTAGCAAAAAATGAAAGGTTGCGTATTGTTTAGAACATTATTTTGAACATCTTTTGTTCAATATTGCTTATCAAAATATTTCCCACTTTTGAGATATAAAGCGTCAAAGATTTAGCATTCTGGCCCCTTATGGCCCCTAATTATGTAACATATGATGTGAATATCTTAATATATAGTTGTAAATTGTTGAGATGAACATTTTTGATTCAGTAATGCATTACAAAATATTGATCGTTAAAGAGTTATTGTTCAAAGACTTTCGGCCCCTCTCAGCCCCTATTTTGAGGGTCCAGCCCTTTTTTCTACATATCACTTTAAAGCTCTTATGATTTTGAACACTTTTTGTTCAACAACTACTCAGAAATTCTTTTTCGTTTCTGAGATATTTGCAAAGGAAGTATTTAGGGGCCGGCCCTTCAACTCCTTAATGGGGACATTTATCCAAAAATGAAAGGTTGCGTATTGTTTAGAACATTATTTTGAACATCTTTTGTTCAATATTGCTTATCAAAATATTTCCCACTTTTGAGATATAAAGTGTCAAAGATTTAGCATTCTGGCCCCTAATGGCCCCTATTTATGTAACATATGATATGAATATCATAATATATAGTTGTAAATTGTTGAGATGAATATTTTTGCTTCAGTAATGCATTACAAAATATTGATCGTTAAAGAGTTATTGTTAAAAGACTTTCGGCCCCTCTCAGCCCCTATTTTGAGGGTCCAGCCCCGTTTTCTTCATATCACTTTAAAGCCCTCATGATTTTGAACACTTTTTGTTCAACAACTACTCAGAAATTCTTTTTCGTTTCTGAGATATTTACAAAAGAAGTATTTAGGGGCCGGCCCTTCAACTCCTTAATGGGGACATTTAGCAAAAAATGAAAGGTTGCATATTGTTTAGAACATTATTTTGAACATCTTTTGTTCAATATTGCTTATCAAAATATTTCCCACTTTTGAGATATAAAGCGTCAAAGATTTAGCATTCTGGCCCCTTATGGCCCCTAATTATGTAACATATGATGTGAATATCATAATATATAGTTGTAGATTGTCGGGATGAACATTTTTGCTTCAGTAATGCATTACAAAATATTGATCGTGAAAGAGTTATTGATTAAAGACTTTCGGCCCTTCTCGGCCCCTAATGTGATGAGTCAGCCCTTTTTCTTCCACATCATATAAAAGATCTCATAATTCTACACAATTTCTGTTCAATATGTTTTAACAAAATACTCATAGTTAAAAAGTTATCGTAGGAAATGTCTCTAAAATTCACTCATGATTCGTGTCCTAAATTTCGACCCCTACCGAGCTTCCATACTAAGCACTTCCGGAAAATTTGAAAACCCAGGTGATCAATGGCAACATGTCCTCTATCATCGCTGAAAATTTCAGCACTCTAGCTTTAATCGTTTTTGAGTTCCATTGCAGACAAGGAGGTCCTCTGAATTTTGATTAAAGGGCGATAACTTCCGACAGGAAGTGAATTTCAAAAAAATGAGAAAAACGTATAAGGTTCAGACAAAGATACATCTTCCCTGAAATTTTCAAGTAAATCGATCGAGCCAACTCCGAGAAATCTTCTGCACAAAAATTGTAAAGAAAAAAAAAGAATAATAATAATAATAAAAGTGAAAAAGAAACAATAGAATAATAGAAGGGTCTTCCGTTGGAGACGGAAGACCCTAATAAAAGTGAAAAAGAAACAGTAGAATAATAGAAGGGTCTTCCGTTGGAGACGGAAGACCCTAATAAAGGTAAAAAAGAAACCGAAGAATAATAGAAGGGTCTTCCGCTGAAGACGGAAGACCCTAATAAAGGTGAAAAAGAAACCGAAGAATAATAGAAGGGTCTTCCGCTGAAGACGGAAGACCCTAATAATAAGAAACAGTAGAATCACTATAAGGTCTTCCGTGAAGACGGAAGACCTTAATAATAATAATAATAAGAAATAGACTAAAAACAATATGTTCCCAAACTCCGTTTGGGGAACATAATAACATAATTTACATTTTGTGCATTCCATTTCACCGAAGTACTATATGACCTAGAACATTGAACATAATTATACTCACGTGACCCATGTCTTGTAAAATTTGAATTTAAAACGAACGTTATTGGACAGTGGTCAGACAAATGTGTAAATGTACCTGAATTGAAATCAACAACTTTGTCAAAATATTGATAATGTATTAATACGTAATCAATGAGACTACAACCATTGTGATTATAAAAAGCTTAAAAGCTTTCGGCTGGCAATTTTTAAATAATGCCTACTGAAATAAAAATTGACTGTACAGACCGATTTATGAATTTGATTGACGGGGAAATTATACATTTTGGAGAATTAGGTAAATATTATCCAAACCTCACAATGAACATTTGAAACGACCAACACTCCCTACAATTTTCTGATTAAAGAGAGGGATTGATGCTTACGTATCATTGTGTTTAAAGGAAAGTCTTCCAGCTAGTTGAAACTTTGGATCACATTTTAATGTCTCAATGAAAGGTTCCTGGTGGGATGGTCCTGGGCAATTCATTGAAAATTCAGTCACTCTTCCATCTAAAAAAGTTTAACTCTGATGAAAATGAGTACGTATATATATATATATATATATATATATATATATATATATATATATATATATATATATATATATATATATATATATATATATATATATATATATATATATTGTTTGTGTGATTTGGATGTGATTGGGCTTCATGTTATATTCACATTTATGTATACGTAATTTATAATAATAAATAATATTCAATAATTCTTTCGCTTTTGATTTAGAAATCAAGGTTTGTATATATATTAAATTTTATATTATATCCTCCAGATCTTAACGGATTGTGCAAATACACAAGGTTAAATCAAAAGAATTATTTACTATTAATATACATATTGTAGTAAATAAAGATTCCGTTTCCTGATCTGGTTTACCTTAAATATCGGCTTTTCATTAGACAACATTTAAATACAAATTAATTACCATTTCCTGAGAAGTATCTCAAAGTCGTCTTTGCGTGTACAATGCCTACTCGGAAGGCATGAACGTAGCCGATATTTTTTGGAGCAGTTGTTTTATAGAATAAATTCCATTTTGTTTCTGCTTCTTCCCAACCAGTTTCTTTTGTCCAAATGATTTCTGTGGAATTGACGTTGTTCGGATCATCTGGATTGTTTAATACTTCAGACTTTCCGATTTTGAGAGAGCATATACTGTCCGTAATTTGAGCGTATTCTTTCACTAAGAAAAAAAAAAAAGAATTTCACATGATTATATATTATTATGTACATCTGTATACCAGTTCATGGAAATAATCATGTCACCCGAACATGTTCCGGGCGACATTTTATTATTTCACATCCTATAATGTTTTCCAAGAATGTTGCGAGTTGGCTTCGACAGCATGTATGAAAATGATTTTCACGTGTAACAAGTCTGATCTGAGATTCCTATTACCCTCGATTTATATTGTGACTTGTGCGGGGGAGACCCCCGCACGTCTCAATATATAAGCGGGGATTACACCGTCTACAGTTCTTCCTTCATTGTCTCCACAATGAAAATGTATCAATGAGTATACCTGTATATGTTGTTATTTTTTAATTATTGGTTTATGTATATATGTGATGTAACTTTATACTACTTTCGAACACACCTTGTACAATTAGCAGTGTATATGTGTCTCAACTCACTTATTTCACAATGATGACCCGTAAATCCTTTGAAACAGTTGCATTGTGATGCCAGTTCATTCAAACATTCCCCAGGATAACATCGTGTGCTATCTGTTCTCCAGGAACATGCCTCTATCGATAAATAAAGGAGAAACATTAATTTTATGCATTTATGAATTGAGTGTAGGGTGTGAAGATAAATAAGTGAATGGTCTCATAAACCCTGCAAACAAAACTTATCAAAAAGGAACAAAAACACGGATCCCTGAAAATACCACAGATGAGATCAGGCGACTACATGTTGGAGGGGTCCGAAAGAAAACTTCATGAAAACATCCCCATAAAACATATTTATGGAATAGTCGGGCTATTCCTCACCTATATTTCAGTAATAAATGTCAAGACAGCACAGAGTAAAAAATCAGTCCCATCCATGATTAGTCCATCTGAGATTACAAAAATATATCTTAATTAAAATAAAATAAAAAAATGAGGTCATCAAAAGAGCAGCTTATCATATCACTGCCTTGTAAGTTCTTACTTTCATTTTCTATCCACTTTAGATCATTATTTTACAATTATGAAGTGTACACTTTCAATTGCTGAAAGGAAGTTTCATATAATTAATAGTATTGTTTTTAACTTAAAAGGTTGTTTTATTAGACCAACTGGCCAAACTCATGTTGTTATTGAATTTAACCTCTTGAAATAAGGATTAATAGGCAACAAACCGTTTAGAATAAAGTTTAAAATATTATGTATGCATTAAATATACCTTATGAGGAATGTTTCTACAAATTATGTTAAAAAAAAAACAAAAACAAAAAAAAAACAAGCATTATGAGAGTATTGCATTAGCAATACTAGTCCCCTACCGTCAAGTGTAATCTGGTTCCCGTTAAAAATTGAAAATGCCATAATTCATTCAAAAATCAACGAAGCGGTACGAAATGCAAACATGATCTATAACTCATCAAAGTAAAGTCACATACCAAAAATCAGCTCAATATCTGCTAGCGTTTAGAAAGAAATTTTGGAAAACCCTGAAAAATTGAAAAGGTCGTGAATCCGTCAAAAATCATTGAAGCGGAACGGAATGCAAACTTGATCTGTAACTCATCAAGATACAGTCACATACGAAAAATTAGCTCAACATGATCTATCACTCATCAAGGCAAAGTCACATACCAAAAATCAGCTCAATATCTGCAAGCGTTTAGAAAGAAATTGTGGAAAACCCTGAAAAATTGAAAAGGTCGTAATTCCGTCAAAAATCATTGAACACCGAAATGCAAACTAGATCTGTAACTCATCAAGATACACTCACATACAAAAAATCAGCTCAATATCTACAAGCGTTTAGAAAAAAAGTGCGGAAAACCAAGTGGGACAGACAGACAGAGGGACAGACAGACGGACGGACAGACTCAGAGGAAACCTAAAATCCCCTCCGGTTTCACCGGTAGGGGACTAATAAATAAATATATAAATAAATACGCATCTTCTTTTGTAGTAGACTGATACGGCATTACATATAACTGTTCAAGATCTGGTGTTACTGCTTTTGTTTTGTACACAGGCACTTGTTTCGGTAATAAATTTTTAACCCATAGTATAATAATAACACAAGGTATCCAACTCCGAATTACACGGAGTACCCCCCTCCCCCAGAATCGCATTCATTTACACTTTCAGAGGAAATACACTTACAAACTGTTTATACCTATGTTTTCTACGATAATTTATCTATACAACCATATATGGCATGCTTGTCTTTATTTTCTTTAGTCTCCGTAAACAGCGTCAAAACTCTGCCCTTCGAGTGGAAAAGTCGAATTCAACCATGAAATATCGCGCTTCATGAAATATGCTGGCGTGAAGCGTCGTAGTTCATGTCCTCATGAATCTTCAAAAATGAAATTCATTTCTTATATTTACATTATTTTTTCTGATGATTTGCCACAAATAACGCCATTTAACTGTCATTTTTAAAGCAAAACAGTTTGCACTATAGTTTTGACGTCAAGTGAGGTATTATGACGTAACAATGGAGATATTCATGCCCATTCATGGTAGTTCATGAGAAAATGAACTGTATTCTATTTTGTAAAGAATCATAGGGGGAATTTATTGGAAATGTAAATATTTGTACGTAAACCTCGTACATGTATGAACCAAGATCGGGTATTATTAAATGACAGTCTGAATTCTGATGTGATTATGTGTTATGTCATAGAACAAACTAAATACGATACCAAATCAAAAGAATAATTTAAACTGTAAGTGTTACTAAGCTGCTAAAAATCAATCAAAATGAGTTAGCGTAAAAGTTATAGGTATGCAAAAAGAAAATTATCGCAAATTTCTTAGCCAAAAGCTTTAAGGGTTGTATGTGCGCACGTAATTTGCACTTCAAAGGAAGTGCCCGACTGTGCGTATTACAACATGTTTGCCGGGGCGAAACTTTTTCAGGATGGAATCAATCCTCAACAGTAAAAACGGATGAAATTTAATTACAGCACATGTATTTTCCTGTTATTTATTATTATTATTTCAATCATTATAATTATTATTAAATTTTGTTTATTTTGTATTTGAATCTCGTGTAGTCGCTATATATGTATATGCAGGCTAACATTGTGAAATGCATTTAAAAAATAAATTTAAACAAACACCCGAACAATCAGACCCATATGACACTGTAAACAATTTACAAGTATCAAGTACATTTTTTTCTATATAAGAAAAGCTCTCTGTGTATAAGCTAAATGCAAGTGTTTTACATTTTGCGTATGGAAATTTGATGAGAGAATTCGAAATTAAGAAGGGCTATATACCAGCTTGTGACCATTGCCGGTAACCCCCCCCCCCTCCAATTTTTCTCAGTATTGGGATGTTTTTTCTTCACCGTTTTCGAATTAAGTGATCAAATTCATGTGTTATGCCTGAAATCTTACTTAACATGAACATCCTAAAAATAAATGAATTAATATTTTATCACTCGCTGTGTTGTCTCTGCATGTAATGTTTAATATACCGTTCATTCTGTTTGTGGACAGAATATGAATTTCACAATACTAGTATAAATAAGTTGCTGGTCATCCTAACATGTTTCCGAAATGATGAATAAAATTACATTTTGTAACTATGTAACCTTTTAGATCTTGCATATTCCAAATGTAAAGATATTTATACTCGTTTGTAAACGTGATTACGTTCAACACATGACGTTGTAGTCATAAATAACGCCATAAACGCAACATTTTGGCAATATTAAAGCGAACTTTGAAATTATTTAGCAAAAAAACTAGCGAGAAGACATATTGATTTTTTTTTATCTCAATAGTTTTAATTTTACCTTATCTGGAAATTTTGAAATTCCTGACTAATTCGTCTACGTCTTAAACAAGTTATCCAACTTTTTTCAAAGAAACTCTTTCCGCAAAATTGGCTTAAAAACGTCATTTTTCTATATATTTCAATAGAAAAGAGTAAAATTAGTACTAAAAACTATACCTCGTTTACAGTAACACAGCATTAAAACTACGTAGATAAATTTAATAAAAATTACAGGTAAAATGCTATAAATGCTAAGGAACATTATATCAAATTTTCAGCATATGTTTTCTCGTAAGAATTTCTAAGCAGTAAACCCGCGACCTACCTTAATGGATGACACAGATGTATGTTTATCACAGGTTGAAATCAATAAATGATTATAATTACTGCTTGACGGTTTGTTTGAATACAACAGACGTCACCTTAATTATTACTTTTGGAGTTTTAGTTCTACGCTCATCGGGAATCTTTGGGACGGATCTTTAAAATTTTTGCTACAACTAGAGTACTGACCTATTCTGGTGAAATTTCAGAAACAAGCATATAAAAATCTATACGATCACGGTTGTTTAATAAACTTTTCAAAAAACTTACACACTTTGTCATTGGCTTACAAAAGCTTGCCTTTGATACCCACAAAGATCAGGCTGGTCCCTCAGGTACCGCTGAGGTAACCCCAAGTTAACCCTCCCTAGTACTGAGGATAGACTACCCAGAGTTTTGAGCTAGACATGAGAGAATCCCTCATTCGTGGTAATCTCCGAATTCCGCCGGCCCAATCCCAGATTGTGACTTAAGAAACTTTACAATAATCCCAAACCTAGAAAATTTCAATATAATTATGTGTAACAGGAAAGGAGAATATGTATGGCTGAAACGGGAATCAAACCCGGGACCCCTGCATCACTAGTCAGGTGCTCTGTCGACTGAGCTACCCAGGCCGATATCCACAGCCCAAACCATTACATTGCTCTCTCTTTCAATTGTCTTCGCCCTCGAGGACACAACCGAAGATCTTATTAGCCCCTGGCAGGACTTTCACCTGCAAGTTCAGGGGTGGTCAACGGCACCAAATCTGTAACAGAAAAGGAAAAAAAATGTATGGCTGGACCCGGGACCCCTGCATCACTAGTCAGGAGCTCTACCGACTTAGCTACTCAGGCCGATATCCACAGACCATGCAAACCATTTCATATGTGTACAAGCTATACTTGCGTGCAGTGCTAAAAAAGCAACACTGCACTTGGCAAGGTAATCATCAATGGTCACCAATGTCACTGAAGTACTGATTATGTTTTATACCTTGGGAATGTCCAATAAAATTCAGGATTAAATCGTTGACATTCAACAGAAAAAGCCCAATAAAAACAAAATGATCCAACCATATACACTATGACCACATCCTTCCTTTGCTAACGAGTCCAACCGCTAAGGTGCTCCACATACACAACTCTTTCGATGTAAGCTTATGCTTTCGTTACTGAAACTACAGAAGAGAAAGCTTCAAAAATATACTCACAAATTTTAGGGAAGGGTGGGTGGGTGAAATTTTGCAACATGTCTGCCCTTCTAGCTTTTTTTCGGTAGATTGTCTTTGAAAATCGGTTTCATTGGGTGCTCGAAAATATTGCGTAATCTATTTATGTAAAATTCACAGTCTCAAGAATGTTTTACCAATTCCTAGAACGCACGAGTAATCGCCCTTGCATTAGTATTAAAAGAAAGCATTTATCACAATATGATGATAAATGCAATAAATTATTTGCTAAAGGTGTTCCTGGGGTGAACTTAAG